TATTTGAGTCTCTTCTGTTTTGTCCCCCTCCCTGTTTTTATGTTATTTTTGTTTCCCCTCCCTTATGTTCATCTGTTTTGCCTCTTAAAGTCCTCATATGAGTGAAGTCATGCGATTTTTGTCTTTCTCTAATTTCACTGAGCATAATACCCTCCAGTTCCATCCACGTAGCTGCAAATGGCAAGATTTCATTCTTTTTGATTGCCGAGTAATAATCCACTGTATGTAGACCACATCTTCTTTATCCATTCATCCATCGATGGACATTTATTTGGGCTCTTTCCATACTTTGGCTATTGTGGATAGTGCTGCTATCAACATGGGGGTGCACGTGCCCCTTTGAAACAGCACACCTGGATCCCTTGGATAAATACCCAGTAGTGCAACTGCTGGGTTGTAGGGTAGTTCTATTTTTAGCTGTTTGGGGAACCTCCATACTGTTTTCCAGAGTGGCTGCACCAGCTTGCATTCCCAATATCTGCTACCAGAGTGCCTTGATGAACTATGTCCTGCTCTATTTCTGTTAAGTCCTTTGCTTCCCACGTCTCTCAGGAAGAACCTACCTCCCTCAGGTACCTTCTAGTTCTGGCACGTGCTCCTTGTTCTCAGCCTACCAACATGGCACTGCAGATGCCAAAGAAAAAGAAAAATCCTTTTCTTGACCTGGTCTCCCTCTCAGCATAATGCCTTGTCCTTAAACCCTTACTGAAAATCTTTTAAGATGAGCATTCCGCATTTGCGGTTCCCATCTCCTCACCTCTGTCCACCCCTCAACCTGATGCAGGGGCATGCCCCTAGTGAAACTTCTTTCATTACCAAATCCACTGACTTCTCCAACTTTATGTGACTTCCCTCTGCCACAACGATTCTGTCAGTGATGTTCCAACCTGGATAGATACTAAAATCACCCGGAGGAATTTTCAAGGATACTAATTCCAGTGGTCCACCCCGGAAATTCTTCCTATCACATCTGGCATTCTGTATCTTTACAGGTGTACCTTTCACATTTTCCTCAGGTAATTCTAACATGCGGCCAGGTTCAGGAACCACTGGACTATGTGACCTCAGAAACCCTTCTGTCACTCAATGCCGTGCCTCTATTCTTCTCTGGTTCCTCTGAGATCTGAAAGCTTTTTCTCACCCTCATTCCCAGGAACCTGTTCCTGTTTCCTTTGAACGTTATTATCACCTAGCTCTGGCCTTCACACTTTTCCCAATCTACGGACCACCAGAGGAGATAGATTTATTATTATCATTTAACGATAACTGTTCCCAAATCTACATCTCTACCACTCTTGACTTTTAAATCTGTTTCCAAATGCCAAAAAAAAAAAAAAAAAAAAAAAAATTCTACCCAGACACAGCATACAAAAGTCAAACTCAACTTGCCTTTTGGAAGGAATACCCAACAAGTCACACTGAGTTATAAATCTTAGAGTCAACCCTCAACTACTCCTCTTCCTTCTGAGAGACATTCGGCAGATCCGGTCAGTTTCAACTCCGAAACGTCGCTCAAATCCCCTCCTTCTCCTCTGACCCACACATACCACCCTCTCTCATCTCACCTGTCACCAGTCTCCTCACTGGCCTGTTTGTCTCTAGTACCTGGAGTCAGGCTTTCTGGAATCACATCCCACTTCACCAAATCCTTCCCTTACGACTTAGAAAGTCGCTTCATCTTTCTAAACAAGTGTGTTCAACTGGTAATAACAGTGCCTTTCTTCATTGGGCTTTTGGGGAATTCAGGAGGATAATATATGTGAAGCCCTTTCCACAGTGCCTAGGTGGAATAATACTCAATAAATTCTAGCTATTAACACATAAGAGAGAAGAGTACACATGCACACTACATTCGCACCTCTTCACAATCTGCTTTCCAATGTCTTTACCCTCCATAATCCTCAATTCAACCTATGGTTTCAAGCCTTACGATAATTTTATTAATATGCATCATACATAATTTGTACCATATACTATGTGTTATATTATGTATTCTCTATAATGCACATGTACCACAAATAATGTGTTACGTGTACTTATTTACAATAAAATACATTCCTATTACTTACTGCAGCTAATATTTACTGCACACTCTCCTAAGGACTCTGCATGTATCCACCCATTTAATCCACACAAGAGCCCAAATGAGATAAACAGTATTTCACAGTACTATTTATTCCCCATTTCAAAAACAAGAAAATTAATGCACACGGTGGTTAACCTGCCAACCCGCCTTCATTCTCCCGACCTTTGGTTATAATGGTCTACCTGTAACATTATTTTTTAGCTGGGAAAACCAAATTCATCCTTCAGAGCTTAACCTGAACACAGCTTGCTTTCAACAAGCAGAAGTCATGTCTTCCTCATTTACGGGCTCACTACTTTGTTCATATCCTCATAGACTATCCGTTATATTTTGGAATGATGAGTTGTTCTCCTAAACAGACTGAATACAACTGTCTCATTTGTTGTTATAACTAGGACAGTGTCTGGCAAGGCATAGGCTCTCTACAAGTATTTGGAAATTACATTAAAAGTTGAAATTTAAAAAAAAAAATGTGAACATTTTTATTATTTACAAAAAGCTGTGAGGAGAGCAATTTTTAAAGCCTAAAATAATACAATGCGTTTAGCCCAAGTGTCTTATCATTTTTTAAAAAGTCATTACATACCCAATTTCACAGATCCTCCAAAAAGTGAACCTTTATCAAAAGCATCCTTCCAGGTAAATGTCAAGCAGATCTTGATAGAAAAAGAGCAAAGAGAAAATTATCTTACCTTCTTGCTTCTCATTAAATATTAGGTCTATTTTGAAGAAAAATCCACAGTGAGGAAAAGGACTAAAGCTTGTCAAAACATTATCTTCTGTAGACAACTAACTCCTTTCCCTTTTCCTGGACCACAGAGTTTTCTTTTTTAAAAGTAAAATACTAGCACTATGATATTTCCGATGGTCATTCTGCCTCAGTAATTGTGCACATATTGTCCTCTCCAGAAAACACTATCTTACTCATCTTTACAACACACAATGGCGTGAACAGAACAGGCACTTAATAAATGATTGTCAAGCCAAGAGAAGCAAAGGTTTCCTTGAATATAAAATTAAAAATTACTCCCCGATGACAAAAGGAGAAGGGTTACCTTTGGGGGAATGAGATAATATGTTATTTCTTGATTTGGGTTGTACTTACACATGTGTATTCGCTTTATAAAGATTCAAGCTATACACATGATATTCACTTTTGTATGTATGCTATACATAAATTAAAAGTTTACTTAATAAAAAAAAACTATTTCACTCTGATTCTAATATATTCCACATATAAAGGTTAAAAACAACTTACCTCTTTTAAATTATGTATTGCAATCCCATGCAAAAATTTTAACTCTGGATTAGAGAAATTTTCAATATACACAAAACTAGAGGGAATAACAGCATGAACGCCATACAGCCATCACAGTTTTAGCCTTTTGAATGTCTGGATTCACCTACTCCCACTTTCCAGTCCCCTCCCAACCCTACACACATACTTTTTCCTCCTTGAGTATCTTAAAGCAAATTTCAACATATTACATCACCTGTAAAAACTTTACTACAAGAATGTGTAAAGCATTTTCCATAAACTACGTATTTTGAAACTTAAAATGTCACACAAATTGAAAACGTTTAACAAGTCTCTCAAACAAAACTGTGAGAAATCATCAGCATTTTTAGTATCTAGCCTTTAAAAGAAAGCAAATATTCTTATAGTATAACATCTAATCAGAACAGCACTTGCAACTTTATATGCAAATATAATTTGTGTCAATTTTTAAAACACAGACACTGAGACTAATACTTCAGTTTCCTTTTTTATTCTGTGTAACACAAAGGGAAGGACATCACAGACTATGTTAATCAGTCAACAGATCATATTGATATAAAATACAGGGGGAAAAAATGCAGTCCAATGCTCCACATAAACCCAAAAGTCACTAAGGAATGACATGAACAGGAACAGAATTCCAAGAGACTCTTCCAAAGATATAGATTCTCATCAGATGGGCTTACAAGCTTCTAATTTGTATCAAAAGGTCTTACAGAAAGATAAAATAGGGAAGAAGCACCATTTATTTTAAAAAGTGATACCATGGGGCGCCTGGGTGGCTTAGTCAGTTAAGCAGCCGGCTTCGGCTCAGGTCATGATCTCGTGGTCCGTGAGTTCGAGCCCCGCGTCAGGCTCTGTGCTGACCGCTCGGAGCCTGGAGTCTGTTTCGGATTCTGTGTCTCCCTCTCTCTGACCCTCCCCCGTTCATGCTCTGTCTCTGTCTTTCAAAAATGAATAAATGTTAAAAAAAAAAATTTTTTTTTTTAAATGATACCATGTGTTGGAAGAAATGGGTGTTTGCCATTATTATAACTTTAAAACAAATTAAAATTAATAACTTACCTGATTTTCAGAGAATGGGAATTTGGGTTCAATGGAACAAATTTGATCATAATATCTAAAAAAAGAAGAAAAAAAGGAAAATTTATAATTACCAAAGCTAAATATTATATACATTTACGTATACACAACTAGTTTATGAGTACACAAAAATTATTCACGCTTACTTTGAGCAGCCCACAAATCAAATTCAATCAGCCATTTTAAAGTTAATAAACACAATCTTTTAATGTGTAAATGAGAATGTGAAATGCATGCAATAAAAAAATTTGTGAACAAAAAACTCATACTCACCACTAAAGAAAAATACGTACCAAGTGTATTGGCTAAAAGGAAACTAACATCTGCCCAGAAGCAAAGTATTTCTTAAAATACTACTTATTAAGGCAACTGTTTATATCCATTGAGCAAATTAACATCTCTGATAAACTGCTATTTAAAAACAGGTTTACTAACTTTCACATATGCCTTGGACATCTCCACTTCTGCCCATCTCCACTGTCACACCCTTCATCAAAGCTTCCACCCTGCCCAGAAATACACTCACGATTATATGGTCAATTAATTTCAACAAGGGAGGCAAGAATATGCAATGGGAAAAACGCAATCTCTTCAACAAATGGTGTTGGGAAAACTGGACAGCAACATGCAAAAGAATGAAACTGGACCACTTTCTTATACCACACACACAAATAAACTCAAAATGGATTAAGGACCTAAATAAATGTGAGACCTGAAACCATAAAAATCCTAGAAGAGAGCACGGGCAGTAATTTAAGAAACAAAATAAACGAGGGACGCCTGGGTGGCTCAGGTAAGTGTCCGACTTTGGCTCAGGTCATGATCTCACAGTTTGTGAGTTTGAGCCCCACAACGGGCTCTCTGCTGTCAGTGCAGAGCCTGCCTCAGATCCCCTGTCCCCCTCTATCTCTGCTCCTCCCCTGCTCACTCTGTCAAAAATAAACATGAAATAATAATAATAATAAATGAAAAAGAAAAAAAGACACAAATCAAAAGGCACACTCTTAACTATAGACAACAAACTGATGGTTACCAGAGGCGAAGTGGGTGAGAAAATGGGTGAAGTAGGTGAAGGGGATTAAAAAAGAGTACATTTAATTTTTTTTATTCTTATTTTAATTCCAGTTAACATACAGCGTTGTATTAGTTTGAGGCGTACAATATAGTGATTCACTAATTCTATACATCAGCCAGTGCTCATCACAAGTGCACTCTTTGATCCCCATCACCTGTTTCACCCACCCCCACATCCCCCCTCACCCCCGCCCCGTAACCATCAGTTTATTCTCTACAATTAAAAGTCTGTTTCTTGGGGCGCCTGGGTGGCGCAGTCGGTTAAGCGTCCGACTTCAGCCAGGTCACGATCTCACGGTCTGGGAGTTCAAGCCCCGCGTCAGGCTCTGGGCTGATGGCTCGGAGCCTGGAGCCTGTTTCCGATTCTGTGTCTCCCTCTCTCTCTGCCCCTCCCCCGTTCATGCTCTGTCTCTCTCTGTCCCAAAAATAAACGTTGAAAAAAAAAAATTAAAAAAAAAAAAAGGCTGTTTCTTGGTTTCTCTTTTTTCCTTTGCTCATTTGTTTTCTTAAATTCCGCACATGAGTGAAATTACATGGTATCTGTCTTTCTTGGACTTCTTTCGTTTACCATTGTACTCTCTAGCTCCATCCATGTCATTGTAAATGGCAAGATTTCATTCTTCTGTATGGCTGGGCAATATACACACACACACACCACGTCTTTATCCACTCACCTATTGAGGGACACTTGGACTGCTTCTGTAGTTTGGCCATTGTCAATTATGTTTAAACAAACAGAAAATGCATAGACCTTTTCAAATTAGTGTTTTACTTGGGTAAATACCCAGTAGTGGAATTACAGAATCATATGGTAGGTCTATCTTTAATTTTTTGAGGAACCTCCATATTGTCTTCCACAGTGGCTGCACCAGTTTGCACTCCCACCAACAGTGCACAAAGGTTTCCTTTTTCTCCACATCCTTGCCAATACCTGCCATTTCTTGTTTTTTATTTTAGCCATTCTGGCAGGTGTGAGGGGATATCCCATTGTGGTTTTGATTTGCATTTCCTTGATGATGAGTGATGTTGACCATCTTTCATGTATCTGTTGATCATCATGTCTTGTTTGGAAGAATGTTCGTGTCTTCTGCCCATCTTTTAATTGGGTTATTTGTTTTGGGGTGTTGAGATTCAGAAGTTCTTTATACATTTGGATACTAACCCTTTATCAAATAGGTCATTTCCAAGTATCTTCTCCCATTCCATAAGTCGCCTTTTAGTTTTGTTGTCTCCTTCACTGTGTGGAACCTTTTTATTTAAGGTAGTCCCAATAGTTTATCCTTGCTTTTGTTTCCCTTGGCTCAGGAGACCTATCTAGACAAAAGCTGCCATGGCCAATGTCAGAGAAGTTACAGCTTGTGTTCTCTCCTAGGATTTTTATAATTTCAGGTCCACATTTAGGTCCTTAATCCATTTTGAGTTTATTTTTGTGTATAAGAAACTGGTCCAGTTTTCCCAACACCATTTGTTGAAGAGACTTTTTCCCGTTATTCTTTTCTGTTTTGCCAAAGATTAATTGGTCATATGTAACTGCATGTTCATTTCTGGGTTTTCTATTCTGTTCTATTCATCTATGTGTCTATTTTTATGCCAGTACCATACTGTTTTGATCACTACAGTTTTGTAATATAACTTGAATTGTAATACTTCTAGCTTTGCTTTTCTTTTTCAAGATTGCTTTGGCTTTTTAGGGTCTTTTCTGGTTCCATACAAATTTTAGGATTATTTGTTCCAGTTCTATAAAAAATGCTGCTGGTATTTTGATAAGAATTGCATTAAATGTGTAGATTGCTTTGGGTAGTATAGATACTTTAACAATATTTACTCTTCTAATCCATGAACATGGAATGTCTCCATTTGTGTCATCTTTAATTTCTTTCATCAGTGTTTTATACTTTTCAGAGTACAGGTCTTTCACCTCTTTGGTTAGGTTTATTCCTAGGTATCTTACTATTTTTGGTGCAATTGTAAATGGGATTGCTTTCTTAATTTCTCTTTCTGCTGCTTCATTACTGGTGTATAGGAACGCAACAGATTTCTGTATGCTGATTTTGTATTCTGCAACTTTATTGGACTCGTTGATCCGTTCTAGCAGTTGTTTGATGGAGTCCTTCAGGTTTTCTATACATGGTATCATGTCACCCGCAAATAGTTAAAAGTTTTACTTCTTCCTTACCAATTTGGATGCCTTCTATATCTTTTTGTTGTCTGACTGCTGTGGCTAGGACTTCCAGTACTATGTTGAATAAAAGTGGTGAGAGTCGCCATCCTTGCTGTGTTCCTGACCTTAGGGGAAAAGTTCTCAGTTTTTCCCCATTGAGAGAACATTTATCTTGATAAGCACTGAGTAATGTACAAAAATGCTGAATCACTATATTGTACACTTGAAACTAATATTAACACTGAATGTTAACTAAACTGGAATTAGATTTAAAAAAAAAAAAAAAAACTTCTACCCTCCCTTTAAAGTAGACTAATCACAAAGTCTCCTTGAGTCATTTGTCATTCTTCTCAGTCTACTCTCCACCCAGCAGCCAGAACAATCATCAAACAAGAAGCAATCTTCTCCCTCATCAGGCTGACCTTTGAGCTAACATGAGAGATTGGGGATATCCAAGGCAAAGCCTTCTAACTGGCCTCTCTAACCCTTCCTCCTTCTCTTAACCTCCCCTCCCCTCCCCACCTTCTTCAGGGCTATCATTCCAGTGACTGTTTCTGAGGCCAATCTTCCAGGGGGAGGGGCAACATGTGTGAGACCAAGTTTTTGGCTGACATGGCCACAGGTTTGGTTACAAACAACAAGATCTGAGCAATTAAGTAAACACAATGAAGATAATGGACACTAATTTCTAACTGTCAGAGAAAAGAGTTACAGAAAGAGAAATGGCTAGAATAAATTCTGTAGTTTTTGCTTGGAATTGGAGGTATCAGTGTGATTTTCTAATATGGTGGAGAAATCCAGGGGTGCCTGAGTGGCTCAGTTGGCTGGACGTCTGACTTCGGCTCAGGTCATGATCCCACGGTTCATGGGTTCGAGACCCACTGTCAGTGCAGAGCCTGCTTCGGGTCCTGTGTCTCCCTCTGTCTCTGCCTCTCTACCCCTACCCTGCTGGCTCCCACACACTTTCCGTCTCTGTCTCTCTCTTTCTCAAAAATAAACTAAACAACAACAAAAATACACACACGTACACACACATGTATATACAGTGGAGAAATACAAAAACAGGTATAAGTGTGTGTGTGAGTGTATTTCCTAAACATATATGCTCTGAGGGCCTAGAAGCAATAACACCTTGGTGGCATAAGCACATCTAGAGCCCAGATGAATAATTCTCTGCTTTAGGAGCCAACACTCCTTCAAGAAGTGACAGATTCCACGGTGGAGATGGAGAAAATTCAAGAATCAAACCTAAAACATCTTGCTATGTCAGATAGTCAAGGAAGTACTCAAAAAATGAGGCCGTGTCAAAAAGACGTAAGAACTAGCTTTAAGGGACTCCTGCTAGCCAAGTCCAGAAAAAATTAAATGAAATAAACAAATCGTAACCCATTGAGAAAAACAAGAACACCAATTTGAAGCAAATAAAATAAATAGATGAACAGGGAAAGCACTACCCTACTGCACAACGGCAGCTCGTAACACTAGAAGCTATAACAGAGTTGGAAAAATCACCACGGCACCTTTCAGAGTATCTGTTTCAGTTAAGATATATCAATGGATGCTAACACAAGAAAGTCTGATGGAAACAGGGTATTACAAAGATTCTCCCCACAAAGTACTTACTAATTTGTTCAACATACTCATCAACTGTAAGGTCAAGAAACCCGGCAGACATCATCTTGATCAAATCATTAAAGTTAAACACAGGGCACCAAACAACATCAAGTTCTTCCTGACATGCACAAAACCAAAAACAAAACCCAGCTGCACTTTGGTGGTACTGCTGCCCAAAAATGCATAAATCCTAAGAAAAAATAAGACAAACCCTTACCGAGGGACATTCTACAAAGTAAGCAGCTTATACTCTTTAAAGATGTCAAGGTTGTGAAAAACAAGGAGAAACTGAGGAACTGTTCCAGACGTAAGCAGACTAAAGAGCCAATTAAATGCCAAAGGATCCTGGATGAAATCCTGAGCCTGTAAAAATATCATTGGGACACTTAGCAAAATTTGAGTGCATTTTATGGGTTACACGGTAATATTCAATCAATGCTAACTTCCCAATTTTGAAAGCTGTACCGTGATCATGTAGAAGAATATTCTTGTACCTAAAACATTCTTGTAGTCTGAAAAAAAAAAAGAACTATGAATTATTAAATGTTGAAACGCTTTACCTCATTCCTATCATACTTAAAATTTCATCCAAAATTTTTGACAAGGCCTGGCATTATCCAGCCATCATTCAACCTCTCCAGCCTCATCTGAGAATATTCACTACACGTCCTATTCATTAGTCTATGCTCTCTCCTGGCTCAGGGCCTCCACCAGTTTTTTTATCCCCCTCTGGACACTTTTCCTATCATGATTTCCTGCTTTTCTTATCTAGACTGATATACCATCAAAAAAGCCTTCCCTCATCCATTCGTTTATCCATTCATTCAAAAAATATACACTAAGAATTTACTATGTACCAAACACAGTTATAGGACATAGAAATTCTGCAATAAACAAACATTTAAAATTTTGAGCTCTTGTAGAGCTTTACTTGTAGAGGGGGAGAAAAAATAGATTAAGTAAAAATATAGTACAGGGGACCGTAGTAAGTGCTATGGAGAAAAAAGTAAAAAGGATAAGGTGCTGTACAGGGTGAGAAGACTGTGGTCTTCAAACAGAACATGAGATAACTTGACTACACAGAAGAAATAAAAACAATTTTGAAAACCACAGATAATAGAGAAGGTACGAAGGAGGTGATGAGATGAGGCCAGCAGGTAAGTGAGATAAAAGATCAGCAGTCGTGGGACAATCAAGTGCCAAAAACTGGGACAAGAGCATGCCCGAAGACACCCAGCCACGGCAAGGAGGCCAGTATGGTCACAGGGCCAGCACAGGAGAAGATGAAATCAAAGAAGTAACGATGTTCGGAGCAGAACCGTAAGACTTTTGGTTTCTACTGTTCGGAGGAAGAGGGGAAACCATCAGAGTCCGGACAGAAGAGTAACACGAGCCCATCTGTTTTCACAGTCACCGTCCACGCCGCCATGGGGAAGACGGACTTGCAATTGTGCAAGAGCAAAGGAGAGAGGTCGGTCAGGAAGCTCTTACAGTAATCCAGGCAGGAGATGGGGGAGCGTAACTCGGCTGTTCCACAGTGGTGGCAGAACTGAGAAGGATGGTCAACCTCACTCCTGTTTTAAACCAGGAGTTTAAACTCTCCCTTTATAATCTCTTGGGCCTCTGAATTTGTCCTCCATACAACTTACCAGTTTGTAATATACCCACTTACGGAATTATGTATGGTATCTTTTTCCTCAAAGGATTCTAAGCTCCATGAGAGCAGAGAATGCGTCTGTTTGCTATTTAACTGCTAGCCCCAAATACGTCACTAAGCTGCAAATTTTTTAAAAGTAACCTTTTTTATCTCTGGAAAGTAAAACCCAAGATTCTCTGTTTTGTGAACCAACAGGAACTACCAAAGCGCAGCCCACAAGGAGACACCAGCCAGGTCCCAAGGGCTGGAGACAAAAGAAGGCAACAGCACGCAAGGCCCAGCAACAAGGCTGACAGAGCAACTGTTTCTGAGAAGGGCTACTGTCGGCTTGGCCAAGCAAAAGGCAAAGTCAAGATAATACGCAGGTCTTGACACAACAAGAAGGAAAACTCCTGGGGCGCCTGGGTGGCGCAGTCGGTTAAGCGTCCGACTTCAGCCAGGTCACGATCTCGCGGTCCGTGAGTTCGAGCCCCGCGTCAGGCTCTGGGCTGATGGCTCAGAGCCTGGAGCCTGTTTCCGATTCTGTGTCTCCCTCTCTCTCTGCCCCTCCCCCGTTCATGCTCTGTCTCTCTCTGTCCCAAAAATAAACAAACATTGAAAAAAAAAAAAATTTAAAAAAAAAAAAAAAAAAAAAAAAAAGAAGGAAAACTCCTGCCAGCCCTGTAAGCTTCTTCCCTGACCTGGGCCATCTCAGATGGAGGGCACTCTAGGTACACAGCCACCCAACTGTCATTAACTAGATTCATTCTCCAAGGAAGAGTATCCGGTCTGGTTGAGAGGGCCCCAGGGGAGGGGGTGGGCAGTCACAACACAGTCACCTTCACTCTCTGCCTCAGTGACACCCAAGTTCCAGCGCGCCCTCCTCTTCTCCCAGAAAGCCCAGCCATCTCAACTTGGGCAGCTGGCTCAGCTGCTGGAGACAAGCAATGTGCTGAGTCACCAACTCCCAGCCTGAGACTGTACATTCCCTGCCAAGTGTAGGTGGCCCCAGAGCTAACCCTGGGCGGCAGTGAGGTGCAGCCAGTGAATGGCCAGGGAGGCAGGCACTGGGAAGAAAGGGGACGATGGAAGAGAGGGGAGCACTCCAGTGCTGAGAGTTAAAGGGAAGATGGGATAGCGGGGAGCACTCCAGCGCTGGGAAGAACGGGGACGATGGGATAGAGGGGAGCACGCCGGCTAGGTCTCCAAGGCTCACAGCCCCGACCCACTCAGAGCGGTGGCTATGAACAATACAAAAATAGGCAGCTGACCAGGCCTTGGTTTGCTGACTCCTCTGCAGTAAGCACGAAAGGAAGTAGTAGGAGATAAAGCTACCTCCCCTGCAAATGGATCGGCGGGGGGCGGGGGGCGCTAAACAGAATGTCCTGAATTGTTTATAGCTATCTCCATTCAAAGCTTTTGGGCTTGACTCTCAAAACTTAAGCCGTGTAGGGAAAAAGTACATTTATATCATATATTGAAAGACTAGAAGCTATGCGATGGAATCCTCAAAGTAAGATAGCTGTCTCAGGACAGGTGATTAATTTAAAAAAATTTTTTTTTCAACATTTATTTATTTTTGGGACAGAGAGAGACAGAGCATGAACGGGGGAGGGGCAGAGAGAGAGGGAGACACAGAATCGGAAACAGGCTCCAGGCTCTGAGCCATCAGCCCAGAGCCTGACGCGGGGCTCGAACTCACGGACCGCGAGATCGTGACCTGGCTGAAGTCGGACGCTCAACCGACTGCGCCACCCAGGCGCCCCAGACATTTATTTATTTTTGAGAGACAGAGAGAGTGCAAGCAGGAGAGGGTCAGAGAGAGAGAGAAGGGGAGACGCAGAATCCAAAGCAGGCTCTGAGCTGTCAGCACACAGCCCGACGTGGGGCTTGAGCCCATGAACCATGAGACCATGCATGACCTGAGACAAAGTCGAACGCTTAACCGACTGAGCCACCCAGGCGCCGCTCAACTGACGCTTTTCAAAGAAAGCAGCCATCGCAACTGTAGTCACCGCAGGCAAAATGCTAGTTATTCCTACAACACGGAACACAACGAACTACTCCTTCTACATGATTCCACCGCACTATCCCTTGTAATTCAGCCTAAATCTTAGGTCTCAAAATTCTCCACAGAGGGAACAAGGGCAGAAACAAGAAAATCTACCCACCTCTCTATCACTTAAATATGCTTCACTGTATCAGCAGATTCTAGCTTAGAATCTAACAAGTAGACCTCTGCTGCGAGTTTTCCACAAGTAGGAAGAAGGAAAGCCAGTATGCTACAAAGTTGGTGAAAGACAGACAGACAGACAGACAGGGCATTATGGAAATAATGCTGCAAAGAATCCGTATGTACTTTTAATATTTTAGAAATAAGTAATGTTTTGGGGCGCCTGGGTGGCTCAGTCAGGTACGCATCCGACTTCGGCTCAGGTCACGATCTCACGGTTTGTGAGTTCGAGCCCTGGGACAGGTTCTGGGCTGACAGCTCAGAGCCTGGAGCCTGCTTCAGATTCTGTGTCTCCCTCGCTCTCTGCCCCTCCCCTACTCACTTTCTCTCTCTCTCTCTCTCTCTCTCTCTCTCTCAAAAATAAATAAACATTTGAAAGAAAGAAAGAAAGAAAGAAAGAAAGAGAAAGAAAAAGAAAGAAAGAAGTAATGTTTTAATCAACTATAAAATTTCAAACATATTTAAGAGATATAATGTCACAGTGGGCATATCTCAAACTTGCAAGTCCAACAATCCTGAGTTTGAAACCCAAGTCCACCAACTCACACCTGTGTGACTGTGTGCACGTTATGAATAACCTCTCCAAACCCTTCCTGATGTCAGGTAATATCTCATTTAAGCATGAGGAAAAAGATACCATACTAGATTCTTAGAACAGTGTTGATACATAGTACATGTGATACAAGCGGTAGCTGCAGATCATTATTTTGCAACTATTCAGAACTGCCTTTATATGTTCTTCAGTATTTTATAAAACCCAGTCACCTACAGCAAATATCCAATAGCTCAATTTCTCAAATCTCATGGGGGAAAAAAAAACCTAGGAAATGAATTCATTTCTTTGAACATACCAAAGACAGACTCGATTGGAAACTGTAGTTTTAAAGTTCAGGGGTGGGACAGGGCACCTGGGTGGCTCAGTCAGTTAAGCGTCCGACTTCTGCTCAGGGCATGATCTCACGCTTGGTGAGTTCAAGCCCCACGTCGGGCCCTGTGCTGACAGCTCAGACCCTAAAGCCTGCTTCAGACTGTGTCGCCCTCTCTCTCAGTCCCTCCTCCACTCACCTCTGTCTGTGTGTCTCTCTCTCAAAAAGTAAACACTAAAAAAATAATTAAAAGAAAAAAGTTTAGGGGGAACACATGGAGATTGAGAACCAGTCCACACTAGCCAAAGTGACAATGCAATGCAAATTCTCATGACCTATACAGCTCCAGTCAGTACTTAGGGCTGTGCAACCCCCAACTGCCAACCAGAAAGAAAAACAAGAGAATGCGAAGAGTTGGACCGCATATTGGTCAGAGTTCATAGATCCTTCCAGAACCTTATTTCACACTTCTTTCTTCACCCAATTTATCACATGAAGACTCATTAATGAAGCATTGTGCAGCAGAGTATAGTAAAAACTAGTCAGCGAGTCAAGAGGTCTGGATCTTAGCTTAATTCTGCCACAGAGTCAACTGTGTGGGCTTAAACCTCCTGTGTGCAAAAGATTCTCCTTAAGGTTACACAGAATGAAGAGTGTCCTGACAAGCTCTCTTATTTAGTAAACATTAGAAGTCAGAATACAGAAAAACAAATCGGATTTTAAATCTTCCTTTAAATTATGTTTATTCATCTATGCAGAATAAAATTACTGAGCCAAATCAAGGTCTGCCAAGTACAGATATTCCTTGAGACCAAGGGCCAACTATTACATATCTTTACTTCCTCCACACTATTTGCATAACAAATCTGTAGGAGTGTCATTAGTGCTAAAATTATCTTAATATCCTCACTCCCAAACCAACAATCAGAATGTTAGCAACAGTTGTGAAGTAAAGTGGAACAGCAACATCTTCTTTTCCTGATCTGTAAAAAACATTAGTGCTTGAAAAAAATTCAGAAATTATGAGACTAGTTCCATCAACTTTACTACAAATGAAAATACTACCATAACGCAACAAACTAAACACTAACCCACAAGAGAATAACAAAGTTAGAATTTTTACAGAAATGTACATAAATGACTCAAGTTAGAAACAAAACTAAAATTACAAACTATTTAAAAATAAATGCCAATGAAAATATTAATATCGAAACCAACTGATGCAGCCAAAGTAGACGGAGAAAAAGTATACACTCCTAAAATAAATGTATGAGAAAAACAAAAATGATGAGAAACTAATCATTCAACACAAAAAGAAAGAGAAAACAAAAGCGAATGACAAAGGCAGTGAAGAAACCAAAAAACAAAAAAGAAATTAAGAAAACAGACTTGGTTTTAAAAAAAGAAAATGGTAGCTTCAAACCCTTAGCAAATCTGATCAAGGGGGGAATCACACATAATATATGCACATCAAGAGTATGGGGCGCCTGGGTGGCTCAGTCGGTTGAGCGTCCGACTTCGGCTCAGGTCATGATCTCACAGTCTGTGGGTTCGAGCCCTCCATCAGGCTCTGTGCTGACCGCTTGCTCAGAGCCTGGATCCTGCTTCAGATTCTGTGTGTCCGCTCTCTGCCCCTCCCCCGCTCATGCTTTGTCTCACTCTGTTTCTCAAAAATAAATAAAAATGTAAAAAAAAATTAAAAAAAAAATAAAGAGTAAGAAAAAATTGCAACTATCAATTATGAAAAAACATTTTGCAAGAACTTCCGTACGACAAAAAGTATCATAAACACAATTAAGAAATAAGACACAGACACATAATGGAAAAAGGATAAACAACCAGAAAATGTAAAAAAAAAACTCCTAAAAATCAGTAAGGAAAAAAACAAGCAACCCAGAAAATGGGCAAAGAAAAAGAACAGGCCATTCACAGAAAAAGAAATTAAGTGACACCAGTAAATGTAAGATGCTCTACCTCAGAGAAATCAGGGCAATGCAGTGGAAAACAAGGTACTATCTCTCATCCATTGTTTAGCAAAAAGCAATAATTTAAGTTACTAACAGGGCGCCCAGTGGTTCAGTCAGTTGAGCATCTGACTCTTGATTTTGGCTCAGGTCATGATTCTAAGGTTGTGGGATTAAGCCCTACATCAGGCTCTGCGCTGAGCATGGAACCTGCTTAAGATATTTTCTCTCTCTCTCTCTCTCTCTCTCTCTCTGCCCCTCTCCCCCACTCGTGCTCTCTCTCACTGTCTCTCTCTCCCTAAAAAATAAAAAAATAAAAATAATTAACCTGCAAGTATCAGCAAGAATGCAGAGGAATAAAAAACTCACACATAGGTGTTGATGGGAATGTAAATTAATAACAGTCAAGTTTTTTTTTTTAAATGTTTATTTATTTTTGACAGAGAGAGAGAGAGCGAATGAGCATGAGTGGGGCAGGGGCAGAGAGAGAGGGAAACAGAATCTGAAACAGGCTCCAGGCTCCGAGCTGTCAGCACAGAGCCTGATGCGGGGCTTGAACCCACGAACTGTGAGATCATGATCTGAGCTGAAGTCAGACATTTAACCAACTGAGGCACCCAGGCGCCCTGGGAATGTAAATTAATAAAACCACTGTGGAGAGATGAAAATATAAACAACCCTCTCCCAGTTAACCGGAGATCTGAATCAACACCCTTCTCTGTTCCCTCCCAAAATTCCACTAAAAAAAAAGGAATAAAAAATCTTCAAGATGTCAACGCACAAGGACAAAGACAACGGGAAATGGCCCAATAGCATACAAGAGGTTTCAGGAAATTTTCTAAAATATGAGAAGAGAAGTGAAGGAATGAAGCAAAGAGAGAAAGCTGAAACTCTAATTGCCTAGAGGAGAGGGAGCTAACAAAATAGAAGCCAAATCATGCCGGAGAAGCCAGAAAGGATCTAAATTGAGAAACAGGAGGCACCACTCAAAAAAGGAATCCAGTATGAGTCTGGAAAGAGAAGGTACGGTTGAAAATCTTTGAAAGAAACCATTAGGCTCCCAACTCCTCCTCGACTGAGGAAAACATTAAGGATATCAAACACAGCTAAGCTGGGGGATCGAGCACAAGTAAGTGGGGAGGATGGGGACTGAGAGGCCATGGTTGGGAGTGCTAAATGCCTGCATCATTCTCTCTCCTTCTTCCTTACTAACAGAACCCCACATTTCGGCTGGGTATATGGCTGCCCTTAATAAAACTTCCTTTTTCTATCCTACTCTTCTGTGATGTGGACACACGCTAAAAGCCAGTAACATGAGCAAGGTGCTAGGGGGCAGCTTCCAGGAAATATTCTGGAAACTGAGCCCTCTGCCTTTCTCCCGTCTTTCCTACAATCTGAAACGTGGGTATGACTCCTATCTGGGCCTTGAGAACAAAGACTCTAGGCTTTACAGAGCAGACGGCCAGAAGACGCCGGAGCCTGATGAACTTCACAGAAGCACTACACCAGCCTCGGATGACCAGAGCCGCCCATCTACCAACTCTTTACACAGGAATAAAATCATACTTTAACTCACTGATAACTTGAGATCTCCTACATGCAGCTGAATCCAACCCTAATACAGGTGTCACCCTAAACCAGATGACATAAAAGACTGCGTGTATGATTGCTGAAATCCCCAACCTCCGTTTCCCCCTGATCAAGTTTCAGAAAGCTGACGACCAGGCTTTTTCATGGAAGGAGACCGGAAGCTTTCTCTCTTTAAAAGAAAAAAACTGACTGCCACTAAAAGACACACACACTGAGCTCTGAAGTTTCCCTCCTTCCCCTCGAGGTTCCTGAGTTCGAGCTCCATATTGGGCTCTGCACAGACAGCATGGAGCCTGCTTGGGATTCTCTCTCTCCCTTGATCTCTGCCCCCTCCCCCACTTGCGCTGTCTCTACCAAAATAGATAAACTTTAAAAACAAACAAAGTAAGATATTCCAGGGACACCTGGCTGGCTCAGCTGGTAGAGCGTGTGACTCTTGATCTCAGGGTCATGAGTTCAAGCCCCATGTTGAGTGTGGAGCCTACTTAAAAATAATAATAAAAAATTTTTTTAAAAATAAAGATATTCTGCCGGCTTGATTGAATGAACATCTCACAACTGTTTGATTTTTACAGCATATATACCCAAGGAACTTTTATATACACCTCCATCATAAAATTTAATAGACTGTAGTATATATCTATTAGCCTATCCTAGCACACTAGAAGGGCAAGAAGTGAAAAAAATATAGTTGTTGAATGAAAGGGCTAGAAGAGAATAATACAGAGATGACTGATGAAACACGGTTAGTTTCAAAGACACGATCTCTGCAACGACCTTAGTACCCAGGAATAGTTCTCGCATTTATGCCTAAAAAACTAAGGATTGAACAAATGAATGAAGTTTTAAAAGTTCACAGCAGAACTCTATCACAACCACTATCCACTACTCCCTCTTGTATGTTAGTCTTTTTTAAGTTTTTTTGAAAAAGAGAGAGAGTAGAAACAGGGGAGGGGCAGAGAGAGAGGGAGAGAGAGAGAATCCCAAGCATCTGCACTGTCCGTGAGGAACCCGATGCGGGGCTTCAACTCAGAAATCATGAGACCATGACCTGAACTGAAATCAACAGTTGGATGCTTAACTGACTGAGCCACCCAGGCCCCACCTCTTGTCTGTTAGTCTTGAAATTGTGCACCAATTGCCTCTGAAAGCTCCAAGCTCCTTAAGAGCTGGGACCAAACAATCTATTTAACAAGACTGTTATCACAGTGTTTGTTACACCACATCCTTCGCTTTCTTAATACTACTAATGGAAAATCCTCACTAAATACTATTCTGGTCTACATAAAAATCACTTTGGAGGGGAACCTGGGTGGCTCAGTCGGTTAAGCACCTAACTCTTGGTTTCCACCCAGGTAATGATTTCACAGTGTGGGAGGAGATCAAGCCCTGAATTCAGGCTCTGATCTGACAGCACAGAGCCTGCCTGGGATTCTCTCTCTCCCCCTCTCTGCCCCTCCTCCCCCTCTCAAAACAAATGCCTTTTTTAAAAACTTGCTTTGCTTTTTTTTTAAGTAAGTTAATTCTAAAAACAATGACTAAGAATTCCTAGGTTATGTTAACAAAAAGCTCATAATAAGTATCAAACTAATGATCTTGGCAACCCGACAGTCCTATCTTTAAAAATGATACTGAGCCACTGGGTGGCTCAGTCAGATAAGCATCCAATTCTACGTTGCGGCTCAGGTCATGATCTCACCGTTCCTAACTTTGAGCCCCGCATCTGGCTCTGCCACTGACAGTGCAGAGCCTGCTTGGGATTCTCTCTCTGTCTCTATCTCTCTCTTCCTACCTGACTTGTGCTCGCTCAAAATAAACAAAAACAAAAAAAAAATAGGACACCAAAGGGTCCTAATCTCTCTGGGCAATCTATTCAGTATCCTCCCTTGGAGGAACCAGCCCTCCCCCAGTCCCTATTACTACCACTTTGATCCATGTGGGATGGAAAAGTTATAGCAGAGAGTGACTCACACAAGGGCAAGCAAATTAGTACATTTCCACTCATAAGTGGGCAAGAGCCAACCCAATCAGAGGCCTCCCATGGACTTCGCCAGAGAGAAGGAGAAAAGCACTCTCTTATTTATGTATTACGGACCACTGTAATCACAGTAGAGCTGGGGGGGG